CTTATATTTTATAAATATAATATATATATATTAGTATATTACTAATATAGTATATTAATATACTATTATTATTATTAATTTATTATGCATAATTTATAAAATTTAATTTTTTGAATATCATAAATTTTTTATATATAATTATTTTAAATTATTTTATATTTCGAACAATAACGATTCGAACACGAACGAACGCACACGTTCGTCTCGTTTACTTATCAAACGAATCAAACACGAACTCATTGACGAACCGAACAAGAACTGTTCGCGAATAACGAGCTTTTTTGACAACACTAATTAGTAGGATTTAATCATGAATTTAAACAGAAATAATAATAATAATAAAAGAATATTAAATCAAATGCTTCTTTAACCGAATTCTCTATTTCCGAATGTGTAAATGGCCCACCCCAAAAATAATGTGAAGAGTAATGAATTAAAGAATAATTACAATATAACACTATAAGTATCTCTTTGACGAAATATCACCTATAAAATTATTAATAGGCTAATTTAATTGCCACAATGACGTTATAATATATATTTATCAGGAGAGTAAATTTGAACACTTTAGCTTTAAAAGAACAGGACATAAATGAAGAGCTATGATTAAATATTAATAGAATCACAAGCCACATTTAAAATAGTAGCATAATTTTGATGTTTTTGTATTGTTAAAATCTAGCTAAATGTCAAATTTTGCATCTTAACGAAAGGCACAATGAAGGGGGGAAGCATTGCGTGCACCCGAGCAATCATTGATTCAGTTTCATCATAGCTAATTGGGATGGACTCATCGCTAGATTAGCAACCCTTAAACAAAAGAAGTAGAATGAAACATACTCAACTCTAAGGCCAATTTAATTATTAGAAGTAGAATGAATAGATTCAACATACAAATCACTTGAACATATAGAAGTAGAATGAACTCATCCCTAGAGTCAAGTTGACCAAATATTCCATTAAACATACTCAACTCTAAGGCCTATTTAAAATCATGTTACTTGGTCAAAAAAGAATTGTCAATACTAGAATCTTCGAGGTTAGTTCTTCAATGATCAAAGCAATTTGGTGGTACTCCGAAAATATATAATTCTTCAATGATCAAAGCAATTTGGTGGTACTCCGAAAGTATATAATTAAAAAAAAAAAAAAAAAAAACTCTTCAAAATTTATTCTATAATTAATATGCTAATTTTGAAATCAATTTAAGCATATTTTATATGCTTATTATGCAAATTGATAACTAATTTTTTTTATTCGATATCATTAAAAAAATTATTTTTTTAAATTTGAAAATGAAATTGCTAGATGATAATAATTTTATTAATTTTTTAATTTATTGATGTACAAATATCTTAACCATTGAAAGAAGCACACCTGATTATATAATTGATGTCGCATCAACCCTTTTAGTACATTTATTTTTGTACTAAAGTTTGCTTACCCATAGTAAAATATATATGGGTCGGGCTCTTTGTTCTGAAATTTCAATGGGCCGGGCCCATTGTTCTGAAACGAGGCCATTACCTTCCTTGTGCTGATCTGTAGGTGAAGACCAGCAGTAATCTTCTGCTCGGTTCATCGGAGAACGACGGGTATGGCGCAGAGGCCTCTCGTTTCCACTCCCACCCTCGTTTTTCTCGCCTTCCGAACCCTAATTCACACCTAAACTCTTTTCTGTGTTTCCATGGACTCCGATCAAGACAATAAAGTCTCTCAATTCTCCGAGGACGAGCTGAGATTGGGTTACCTAAGTTTGGAGGACTCCCGCAATGGGCGTGAGAAGGTACGTCTTGAAAGTAATGGTTCTCTGCCGGCAGAATTTTATGACGCTGGGGATGATGTGAAGTCGGAGAATGTGGAGGTCTCGCCGCCGGCTGTGGTTGCGTTCGGAGAGGAGGGATCTTCCCAAGGCGAAATTGGATTGATAGATGGATCGGAGATGGAGGGAGAGGCGCTGCCTAGTCCTAGCAGTAGTGGATACGCAGGTGAGAGAGGAAGCAGTGGCGGCTCTACCGGAATCGGAGAAGAGGTGGATGCCAGTGGGAGTGGGCTGCACGATGCTTGGGATAAGGAGAACCGGCGTCATTATGAGGTGCGTAATGTTCAAGTGTTTTGAACTTGGATTTTGCCATGCATAGATGCGTAAAAACCAATGGGAGAATCGATTAGCTTTTGGAGTATTTGTTCGGTGAGTATTTCCTGCGTTTGTAAACTGATGTTGTGGTTGTGGATTGTTCAGGTGGCGGAGAAATATCCTATACAATAACCTACATTTAGTAAGGCGTTGATGTCCGACAACTTTCAAACATATGTATGCAGTGTAACTTTCTACAGAATAAATTCAAACTAAATACAGAGATTTTTATTTGATGCCTGAAAAATAAATGCGTTGGAAAAATATGAAGATCAAATTGATAATGGACAACAATTTAACTTTTTTAAGGAGGTGTTTGGCTGCAACAAAAGATTTACGTTAACGGATTTTGGTCAGTTTGTGACGGAGATGGAGCATGCGAGAACGACAATGTAAATCTGTGTAATCCGACTCATCCTCGGATTTGATAAAAATCCGGATTTACGCGATAGAAGAGACGAAACGGGGAGAAATAGGCGAAATGGGAGAGATTGAGATTCAACGTAGAATTGAATTTGGTTCTCCTTTTTTTTTGGTGTTTGGCTGGATTTAGGTGAAACCCACAATAAATCTTATTAAAAGTATGCTACGAAACACCCCCTAAGTATGAATGATGATAAACATGTAATTACGATGGATCATAAATATGAGAATAAAAACATAGTAAGTGTGAGATGTTCTAATTTTTATCTGTTTTAACATAACCATCATAAATATCTATTCAAAGGGCAGAAGATATCAAAATTATGAGTAGCCTAATTTGTGATGGATTTTAGGAAACTGTGGGTGGAGTGGGGTTATGTTGAAGCCTACCTTTATAAATAATTCATTATTGCGGCGAATCTCCTTTTTTAGTTTAGAATTCCTTCTCTAATGGCTGTTGTCTGTTATTCTGAAGTAGCCTTTTGCTTGGGGTGATAAACAAGTAAGAAGAGTAGAAAACTCAAGAGGCACTATAACATTTTATTGCATAACCATCTAATACACAACACGACCATGGTATTTATAGAATAGAGTAAGAGGTAAAAGGCTAGTATGCATCTATGTGGAGGGGGAGAGAGAGAGAGAGAGAGGGAAGCGGGAGGGAAGATGTTCATAATATGGGAAAAAGGGAGGAGTAATGGAAAGGAGATTTTGAAGAGTTCATGTGGGTTTTCAAAGGTTTCATGATGGTTATAATGCATGAAGTAATTATTTTGAGGTATTTCCAAGGCTTCTTAATAGTATTATTTTAAAGTAAGGAGAGAGGAGGGAGATAAGGGGCATTCTTTCTGATGGAGATGAAGTTGTAACAAATAAAAACTACTTGGAAAGTCAAAATGGTCATGTTGTGATGACTCACAATTATTGAACCAAGACAATGATATAACTGTAATTCTATTAACTGTTGTTAAAAAAGGAAAGAATGCCTCTTATTGGTGAACCGGTCTACTTGGGGAAGACTCATTAGTTATAAATAATGAGGGATGCATGTTGAGAGGGTTCAAGGGGAATGAAAACAGTTTATTAGAGTGAGGTAAGGAGAGGTTTTATGAAACTTAGTAGAGGATCTTGGGAATCTTGTACTGGGCTGATGAGAGAGAGAGAGTATGGCAAGAGAGCTCTTCTCTTAGCGATAAAGCTGTGTAAACTTGTTGATTGCCTTCGTGAATTGGTGTTTATTCCCTTTCCGTGGATGTAGTTCTTATGGACCGAATCACATAATCTTGGTGTTCTTGGTTACTATCTTGTTTTCTTATTCTGTGTTCTTTAAGCTAGCATTTGGTTCTTTGTGTTGCTCTTGGTTAGTTTATATTGCAGGGTGATTGGTAGATACCTCAACAAGTGGCATCTTCTGTGGGAAATTAGACCACGATAATGAGATCTGCCAAGTTCGACATCGAAAAATTCACAGGAAAGGACGACCTTGGCTTGTGGAGAGCCAAGATGCGAGCCCTGCTTGTACAACATGGCGTTGCAGAAGCACTGCAAGGACTAGCTGCATTGCCTGCTGAGATGCCCGAGAAAGATAAGAACAGTATCTTGGATAAAACTCATAGTATGATAATTTTGATTATGGGTGATAAAGTTTTGAGGGAAGTGTCAAAGGAGACAACGACTCAAGCACTCTAGGCTAAACTTGAACTGCTCTATATGACAAAATCCCTGGCCAACAACTCTTTTTGAAGCAACGTCAGTACTCCTTCAAGATGCATGAATGAAAATCAATCTCAGAGAAGATTGATGAGTTTAATAAGATCATAGATGATCTTGAAAACAACGAAGTTAAGATGGATGACGAGAATAAGGCTTTGTTGTTGCTAAACTCTATTCCCAAGTGTTATGAGCATTTCAAAGATGCAATGCTCTATGGAAGGGTGCAAATAATTTCTCTAGAAGTGGTTCAATCTGTTATCAATGCTTAAGTATTTCGAAGGAAACATGACATGAATGAGGAAATCAGTGGAGATGGTCTTACCGTTAGAGGAAGATAAGACAAGAATGATTCAAGAAACGGTCAGAACATATCAAGATTGAGATAAGGAAAGAAGAGCCAAAATTAATTATCAAAGGGACCTTTCAAATGTTACCATTGCCACAAGAAGACCACTTCAAGAAGAACAGTTCTGACAGGAAGAAAAAATATCAAGAAAAGCCAAAAGGATCAGGAGAAACACGTGTAGCCTCTGATGACTATGATTCAGCTGATGTTTTGATAATTATTGAGTTTGAATCAATCAATGAGTGAATTCTTGATTCATGCTGATCCTTCCATATTTGTTCTCATAAAGATTGGTTTGAGACACTCTAACTGGTAAACGATGGATCGGTACTACTTGGAGACAACAAAGCTCGTAGTGTTGTTGGCAGTGTGATAATCAGGATAAGGATGTTTGATAGACGAATACTGCAAAATGTCATGTACATACCAGAAACCAAAATAAATCTGATTTCTTTAGGTATGTTGGAATCTAATGGCTATTCTTTTAAGGCTGAAATAGTTGTATTAGAGTAACTAAAGACTCTTTAATTGCCATGAAAGAAGTTAGAAATAATGGTTTATATTCACTAATCGGAAGAACTGTGATTGATAACTTCTCTAATGTTATTCAATCTGAAACTGACATGCTCACAAAGGTTCTATCTACAGCTAAGTTCAGACACTGTCTGGACGTAGTGAACTCTACTAAGGTTTAATAGCCCATTGTGACTGAGAGGAGGAAATCATTATTATTGAGTTTTGTACTTGAGAGTCAAGGTGGAGAATTATTGTGATGACTCACAATTGTTGGACTAAGGCAATGATATAACTGTAATTCTGTCAACTGTTGTTAAAGAAGGAAAGAAGACTTCTTATTGGTGAACCGGTCTACTTGGGGAAGACTCATTAGTTATAAATAATGAGGGATACATGTTGAGAGAGTTTAAGGTGAATGAAAACAGTTTGTTAGAGTGAGGTAAAGAGAGGTTTTATGAAATTTAGGAGAGTATGTTGGAAATCTTGTATCGGGTTGATGAGAGAGTATGGCAAGAGATCTCATCTCTCAGTGATAAAGCTGTATAACCTTGTTGATTGCCTTAGTGAATTAGTGTTTGTTCCCTTCTCGTGGATGTAGGTCTTATAGACCGAACTACATAATCTTGGTGTTCTTGATTACATTCTTGTTTTCTTGTTCTGTGTTCTTTAAGCTAGCATTTGGTTCTTTGTGTTGCTCTTGGTTAGTTTCTATTGCAGGGTGATTGGTAGATACATCAACATGTCACATGAAAGTCAACATTGATGATGGTGATCAACTTTTGATAAAAAATGATAAAAATTGATTAAGTTGCTTTCAGATAAGGGATGGAAGGGTTTGGCTAGCTCATTACTCAAGTCCATAAAATCATTATTATCTGCCAAAAGATATCACAGGGTTACAATAGAAGGCTTAAAACAGAAAAATAGCTTGAGATTATAAAGGTTCAAAATACATGCGTGACTGAATGACCTAAGAATACAAATGTGCAAAAAGAAAAATATATAAAAAAGATTCAAACATGTTCTAAGTACTTGGTAACTATACTCTAGGATGACAATGACAACCATGATGTTCTGTATCAACAATTTCCGTCTTTGAAGATTTGCTATGGAGAATGAAGGTCCATGTACTTTTGCAGCTATTGCATGCCCAAATAATGCAACTAGTCAAAAGTAAGCTATGATTCCTCAGGTGTAAATAGGAATTCATCGCAAATAGGAATGCATCGCAAATAGGAATGTATGTCTTTTTTGCTGCGGTGATGATAGGACTCTAAAATCTGATCTAGATGATGGGATGCAGTAGGATGGCACAAGAATCACCGAATGAGTATCAACCTACTTTTTAATACTATTTGCAAAGGTAATAATAATATATGGGGCTTGTACAGGGTACAATGTTAAATTTGAAACATTAAGAAATTCTAACATCGATAAAGAGAATCATCTAGTAAGCATTATCATTTATCTTCTTCATAATTTTATATGAACTAGATTTATTGAGTGTTAATTATATCAGAGTTTTAGTTTAAAATCTTTAAAATTTAACTTCAATTAAAATTTAGTGTCCCTTGTTAAATTCTACATATTGTTTCTATGTTTCAACGTCAATTTTGTAATTATCATAACTCAAAATATGTTTTTTTTGCTGAATGTTTTGATATAAATGTGGTATTATTATGTTAATATCATATTATGTGACTTTACAAAGTATATTTGGAGTTGACATTTTATAAAGGAGAAACTTACGAAAGATCTAATATGTATATTCATAACTATTGGTAAATAATTTGGATATACTCTTCAAATGAGTATCAGAGACGGTTTTTTAAAAGATATCACATAAGCTTGGAATGGATGACATCCATTCATTTGCTTGATAGTCAGAGTGAAAAATCTCTATAATGTTTGCTATGGGAGAACCATTATGACCAAGACTTATTATACACACACACATATATATATATTCGTTTTCACAATGGCGTCGTCTGTTCTGATTTCACTTTGCTAGGGTTTCGCCATTATGGCGAAACCTGGTATCTCTTCGTCGATTTGCTCTTTGACGTGTTTCCTCCTTTTCGTCTGCGTCGTGCGGCGTCAGCTTCTTCGTTGCACGTCGTCTGTTCCGCGGCTGTTTCACGCTCGAAGAAGAAGAGGTTTCGCTCCTTTGTTTCGTCTTCCGTTGTCAGCTGCGTCTCCTGCGGTCGTGCTTCTGCGACTCCGTCTTCTGCTGCTACATCTCTCCTCCCTGCACATACGTGAGCTACTCGTAGTCCAGGCTCAATCCCTGTAGTTTTTCGTTGTTCAACTCCCTATTCCATGGCTACTGCTCTTTCTCAACCGCTGACTATTTCAATTTTAAATCTTGGGAAGGCTTCTTTTTTTGATATGATTGGCTCCATGAGATCAGATATCAGGTTTTTTCTCAGGTTTTTCATGAATCATTCGAAGACTAGGAGGATCGCAACCTTATTAAGAAGACGTGTAGGAAGAGTGACAAACTAGCTCTATTCTTCTTTGATGTTGAAATTTCCAATCTGATTAACAAGTGCAAATTCATTCTCCTTGGGAAGTTCTAATCGGGATATCCTAAAATGGAAATCGTTCGAAAGACTTTTGAAGATCTCAAACTATTAGGACTTTGGAAGGTTGACCTCTTTGATGGGAGACATGCGATGATACAGTTATCTAAAGTGGAAGACTATGCCAAAATATTTTTAAAAAAAATTATGGCAATAGATGGAAAATATATGAAACTGTTTAAGTGGTCTTCTGAATTTGACCCTAGCCAAGAACCACTTGTAGTTCCGATCTGGTTTAAACTACCTGGCCTAAAGTTGAGCTACTTCAATCACCAAGTCTAATTTTCTATTAGAGCTGCACTAGGGAGACCTATGTAATTGGATACACCCACCTTCAATCTAACTAGGCCTTCGGTTGCAAGAATTCTTGTTGAAAGGGATATCACCCTCCCTGATGTGGACGAAATATGCCTCGGTACTGTCCACAATGGGTATTGACAGCCAATTGTTACAGAACAAAGACCTTACTACTGCAATCACTGTAAACTATTTGGGCACACCCTTGTTAAATGCTTCAAGCTTCACCCTCATTTGAGATCGGCATGTACAAACAACTGCTTCAAGCTTCACCCTCATTTGAGATCGGCATGTCCAAACAACATCATTCATGAGGAGGAAAATATAGAAGACATAGCAGACACTGTTAATCTTCCAGAAATGTTGAATGAGAATTTGACTCATAAGACTACTCATCACCAACTAGATCAGCAGCTTCCGCTTACTGTTGTTGAGGCAGCTCTTCCTCAGATCACAATTACTACGAATTTTGTGGTAGCAGATGCTAGCCCTTGCCGAACCACCTATTGTGAGAGAAGAGGGTACTCAAGTTCTGGAGGAGTGTTAGGATGGTGTGCTGCAGGTTGAGTCAGATCAGCAGTTTACCTCCATCGAAGATCCACCTATTGTTCAGACGGAACTACCTTTGACAGATTATTGACAGGTTTACAAATCTAGGAAGAAGAAAAAAAGAATGCTAGATCTCAGTAATTCTCAGGATGATTGTCTCATATTTTCGGGCGGAAACCCACATCTCAGTATGTTGCTGGACTCACTCCCTAGATCCAGGGAAATTGGAAGTGGTATATCCACTGACTACACCCGCCATGATTAGAAGTTGTTTTCTTTTTGTTATATTTTTCGGGGTTATGTGTAGTCGTAATCTCTGTGAGTGGGCTCTTTATACCCACTCACTAAAATATTTGTATCCTTTCTTTTATATCAAAAAAAATTTTGCTTTTTAAAAAAAAAAAAAAAAATCTTTTTCACGGTCACCTTATTGATTTGTAGGATTTCTACTGCTTATCAATTTGTGAACTACCAGCGATTTTTTTTTTCTCTATTCAATTTTTTTTGTTAGGAATGCATAAATTGTGTACTTGTTAAATTGAAGTATACTCAATGAATTCTCAGCATTTACTTTCCTGTTATCCACAAGTTTTGAAGCTCCATTCGGCCATTTTCAATTTTCATTTTTATTTCTTAAACATCGTTTTGCAGATTGAGGCTTTTGCACCATTGTCATGACTTAGAACATTTGTTATGAACTTTAGTTTCAATTCATGACAGTGCAACTAAAATATGATTCCTTGCTTCATTTGTTGGATGCTATGTTTTGTTAAAAGGTTTTGCTTTTGAGTCACAATGGGCCTTCCATGTGAAAAATATTTAGTAGTTTTTGAGGATGATGTCTGCTAGTGATAAAAATGTCATAAATTTTCTATCATGAAATCACTTGTATTTATCTTGAGCAATTTTTATCTGATTTATGTGTTGTGTTTCCTTTTTTTAGGGGGGGGGGTAACCATCTGGTGTCCCCTATTAATTGTGACAAGATTTAAGGTGGCTTTGATGCAGTTTTCTGTAGGATTAGTTTGCATTCCAATGTGTCATAGTGGACATGGCCATCTGATTATATTTTACAAGTTGCATGCAGGATGATTCATCTGTTTCTTGGAGAAAACGAAGGAAACATTTTTTTGTGTTGAGTCACTCTGGGAAGCCAATATATTCTAGGTGCAGTTTTGAGATTGCTATCGAACATTTTGCAATTATTACTTCTATTGTTTTGTGCAAAATTCTGCTGCTAGCATTGACTGTTTGATGTTTGTTCAGGTATGGCGATGAACATAAGCTTGCAGGATTCTCAGCAACCTTGCAAGCCATCATTTCATTCGTTGAGAATGGGTAAACCCATCTATTTTGTAGCAACCAGCAAACCTCTTCTTATCCATTTAAAACTGCTGACCTTTTTGGGTGATACATTAGTATGTTCAACAAATACATGCAAGTAAACTTATTTTATGTTTTTAATCCAATGTACAGAGGTGATCGTCTGAAATTTGTAAGGGCTGGAAGACATCAGGTCAGTTTATTTTGTTCAAAATTTGTTTTTTTCATTCTTGATTATGTAGGTTTCATAAAATTTACCTAATTGATAAAGTTTGTATATAATGCATATTATTCAGCTGCACAAAATTCAGTATCCCATACTTTTATTTAGAAATTTCATTCTACATTACAATTTTGCTTAGCCATACTATTGGCAATAGTTGAGCATCAGGATTGTACAAAGTAGAATAATAAACCTTCTAGAACTTTTCATTTTGCTCTGTTAAATGGTTTAGCTTTTCAGCATGAACTCTGTTCTTGTTTGAAGGATAATGTCTATTTCATTCTTGCTCATGTACTTGTAAAATTTCCAGTGTGGTGATGTAAAAGAGCCGTTTCTTTCTGATCTGCTTCTTCACTTTTTTATTTCTTTCTAAGCTAAGAAATACGGCTACATTATTGAAACATCATGTTTTGATGCATGAAGAAGGTCTTGCATAATGCTTCATGGTTGCATCGAAGTGAATACAGACGTTACGTGGAAAATGCCTTTGATTGTATCTTGCTACTTCTGTAATTATGTAGTCATTGCATGCTGCTTGAAAATACATAAACGTGTAGATCTAGTCAACAAACATATTAAGGGGCTGTTTGGAAAGCAATTATCATATAGTTTAAATGAAAGTATTTGGTCAATTTAGCTTCATTTATTAGAATTCTCAAGAGGTGAGCTAAGTGTGGCTGGTTTTAAATAATTGTGGCAATCACTCGAAATTCAGCTGATAAAAAGTCGCATTTTATTCATTTTGCTCGCATTTTGTGCCAGTCGAAAGTGTCCCCTAGCATGTTTTCCAGTTCACGGGGCCATCTTCCTTTTGTTCCTTTGATTGGATTTGAGTTATGGGATTAAGTTGACATAATTTGCACAGACATTTTTGTATTTTGCCAATTGAGATAAAACTACATTTGCTTTATGCGCAATAGAGCTTCTTAATCTTGACATTTTCAGTCCCATTTTTGTTAAGCTGAAATTATCAATTCCATCTATTACCTTAATGCTGTATTATTTGGTTTTTTACTTTTGATCTGCTGGTATTATTTTGAAGAGACTATTGCATGTCCAGGTAGTATTTCTTGTGAAAGGCCCTATATATTTGGTCTGTATTAGCTGTACTGAAGAGCCATATGAAGCATTAAGCGGTCAATTAGAGCTTCTCTATGAGCAGGTAATTCTTGTAAATGATTACTAGATCACACTTCAAACAATCAATAGATTAAGAGAGTGACTGGCAAGGTCTGTTCTTTCTGTTTATCATATATGATATTATTTGTACTTTTGTTGTTTTAGCATGCCTGTTTTGTATCTTATTAACTTACATGGAATTAATTTTTCATCTTTTGATCCCACTGCCTTAACTTTATTTTTTGCAGATGCTGGTTATATTGACAAAGTCAATTGACAGATGCTTTGAGAAGAATCCAAAGTTCGATATGACCCCATTATTGGGAGGGACTGATACTGTTTTCTCCTCTTTGATTCACTCATTCAACTGGTAGTTATCTATTTCATATGCTTACAAAAAAATTAAACATCAAATATTCCCCAATTATTTTTATGTGACCAATTTAGTCCTGAAGTGTCACATTTATCTAGTTTAGTCCCTCAATTATACACAATTGATCAGAAATGACCCCTTAAGTAGAAATGATGATGTTAAATTGATCCCAATTTAGTCCTCGATCCCAAATTAGAGAGACTATTTTGGATTAATTTTTTGCGGTCAACAACAACAAACAACAACAACAAAGCCTTAATAAAGCCTTAATACCACTACGTGGGATCGGCTACATGAATCCTTTTTCTTCATTGCGTTTTATTTAGTGTCATATTTTTACATAGATCTAATAAATTAAGATCTTTTTTTATGGTTGATGCACTAAATTAAAAAAAAAATTAATAATTTGGTGCTAAATTTGTAGCATACAAATATTTTAATTGTATGTAAGGCTGTGAATTAACCTTGCTCTTACAAAATGTGAATTGGCAAGTAAGGATATTCATGTCAATATGGTTAGTTTTGATGGATGCATTATACAAAACTATTTTTTTTTAAAGTTGATCACGCTCGATGCTGATGTTTATGTATGCTCGGGAGGAATCCCGTCACTTCCGTCACCCCAATTTCGTATGTGAGGAATCTAGTGCTGTGTGAATTGGTCCAAGCCAGGACCGACCAGAAGAAGCCAGATCAACCGACCCAGCCTAGATTTGGTATGGGCAATCTCAACGCCCGGGTGAGGCCTGTCAGGCCGCGCATCATCTATCTATTGCTGTCTCGTCTTTGATTGCTTGTTGATTTTGGTTCTAGAGCGTATCAAATTAGTATCAGAGCAAGATCTTGTAGAATGACAACAAAATAAGTGGATGTGCTGGAAGAAGTTGGGCAAATCAAATCGAGAATGGAAGAGAGGTTCTCCACCATGGAAGACAAATTTTCTTCCATAGAGAGCCGAATGAAGGATGAACTCGAGAGCATATGAGAGATGTGAGAGATGATGAGGAAGCTCATGGAGATGCAATCCAAGATCATGCCGACCGTTCCAGTTGTAAATCCTAACTTGGCCAGGTCAGAAGGGAAGGAGATTGAATGAGAGGACGAGGAGGACATCATCTATCACCAAGAGCGCCCCTCTAGGACTCTGAGAGAGAGGGAGTGGAGACTTTCGATGGAGGGGGTTGGGCTGAAAATTGAAGGGATGGTGCAAGGGGCGCAAAAGTGTCTGAAAACTGGAGGAGGGATGATGCAGGAGGAAGGAGGAAGGAGGAAGGAGGAAGGAGGGAATCGGGAGTTGGGTATAAATTTGAACGGAAGACAAAGGAAGGAGGAAGGAGGAAGGAGGAAGGAGGGAAGAGGGAGTTGGGTATAACTTTGAACGGAGGAGGGAGTTTTATCCTAGACACATGAGGGGAAATACCAGAGGAAGAGGAAGTTGGGTTGGAGATGCAAGAGTCAGAAAATTGAAGATGCCAATCTCGAAGGGGAAGATGCACATGGGTGGGTATATTTAGTGGAAAGATATTTTGAGGCAATTGGTTAACCTAAAAAGAGAAGCTCATGGCGGTGGGATTATGTTTGGAGGGAAATGCTTTAGAGTTGTTTCAGTGGATGGAGACAAGGTATCCGATGCAACCGTGGGAGGAGTTTAAGGATTGCTTGTGGTATTGTTTCTGAGTCATTCAGAAAGGAAACCTACACAAGCAATTCTATACTCAAACTCGGGATGAGACGTTTACAGAATATGGGGAGAAGTTATAGCTCTTTTTAGGGAGGTTGAGGGGTATTTCTGCAACAGGGCGGGAAGGGAACTTCTTGAAAGACCTAAAGCCCGACATACGAGCATCTATCTGACCATTGAGACCGTGTTGATTGAGGGAAATGATGGAGCTCGCACAGATGATGGAGGACAAAAAATAGGTAAAAAAATGCCAGTCGAGGTGGCAACCCAGGAATATTCTATAAGAGCTTCTTGACAACCACAACACTGAGGACCCAGAAGGTGTTGTTTCAGAAAGAGACGCCAATTGATAAAAATACGAGAATCCATTTCAGGGGGCAATTTTAAGCGCCCCACTGATGCAAAAATGCAGGATAAAAGAGGAAAATGACTATATCACTGTTGTGACGAGAAATATGCTTCAAGTCACAATTGCAAGGAGTGCGCCCTTCAGATCCTTTTAATTCAGGAGGAGGAGACAGTGGGTGAGGAATATGAGGAAGACGCTGTGGATAAGGAGCATCTGTATTTAAATGTAGCGGAGGTGTCCCTAAATTCGGTGGGTGGGATTCACTCCAAATCACAACATGAAAGTGAGGGGACGAATTTAGGAACAACTGATTGTAGTGCTCGTGGATAGCGGGACCACACAACTTTATCTCAAATCAAGTCGTAGATCAGCTAGGGTTGGAGCTGGTGACTACAGGGAGATTCGACGTCATGATGGGGACAGAGAAGGTGAACAAAAGTCGATGAATTTGCGAGGGTTGGTTCTGACACTACATGACCTACAGGTGGTGAGGACTTCCTTCTTGGACTTTGACAACATAGATGTGATTCTAAGGATGAAGTGACATCAGATGTTTGGGGAGATAAAGGTGGACTGGAAATCCCTAATGATGGAGTTCCAGGCGGAGGGGAGGAAGGTGATGCTAGTTTATGCAAAATCATGGTCTCGCTCAAAACCATGATCAAGTCGATCAGGAATGAACTACTTGGTGGGGTTGCAAAGTATAGGGGGGGTATGAGATCCCAAGTTGGTAATGTTTCTCGATAGGGTCCAACAACTCCTACATCAGTTACGAATGCTTTTCAGTAGCCCAACGGATTACCACCACCAAGGGAGCCTGAGCACGCCATTACATTAAAGGAGGGTGTCCCTCCTATTAGTGTGAGACCCTATCGATATCCTCAGTTCAGAAGAATGAGATATAGAAGTTGATCTGAGAGATGCTCGAGGCTGGGATTATCAAATCCAATGCGAGCCCCTTTTCCAGTCTAGTCTTGTTGGTGAAGGAAAAAAATGGTAGATGGAGGTTCTTTGCGGACTACCGCTTGTTGAACAAGGAGATAGTATTTTATAAGTTTCTTATTTCTGTGATTGATGAGTTGCTAGATGAGCTTTATGGAACAGTCATTTTCTCGAAAATAGAATTTAAGTTGGGATACTATCAGATCAGGATGAATCATGCAAATGCACACAAGGCAGCGTTTAGGACACATGTAGGACATTACGAGTTCTTGGTGATGTCGTTTGGCCTCATCAATGCTCCGACCACCTTTCAGTAACCTTACCTCAGGAAATTTACCCTGATCTTCTTTGATGACATTATGATCTACAGTCGTACAGAGACGAAGCATGTGGAACACCTATGGACAGTTTTGGAGAAGTTGAGAAAGCACCGATTGTATGTTGATTTGAAGAAATGTTCATTTGCACAACTACATATGGAGTATCTTGGGCATATTGTGACAAAGGCAGGAGTAGCAGTACATCCATCCAAGATTGAGGCTATGATGGACTAGCTTTTACCCAAGAGCTTGAAGGAGTTGAGAGGATTCCTAAGTTTCACTAGATATTACCGAAAATCTGTAAAGGGGTATGACACGATAGCTTGACTACCGACGGAGCAGTTGAAGAAAGTCAATTTCAAGTGGAGGGAAGCCGCAACATAGGCCTTCAAACATCTGAAGAGGGCCCTGACTAGTGTACCAGTATTACACTTCAAGATTTCAGGAGACCATTGGTGGCAGAGACAGATGCATCACAATACATATTGGGAGGAGTACTCATGCAGGATTAGTGGCTGATTGCTTACTTCAGCCTGATGCTTACCTTTAGGGCGACGCTTAAGTCAATATACGAGCGAGAGTTAATAATTATTGTGTTAGCCATTCAAAAGTGGCGGCCCTATCTTTTGGGAGGACATTTTATTGTCAGAACAAATCAGAAGAGCTTGTAGTACCTGTTGGAGCAGAGGATGGTGTCCGAGGAGCATCAAAGGTGTCTATCCAAGTTGCTGGGATATGATTTCGAGATCCAATATCGGCCAAGGTTGGAGAGTAAAGCAACAGATGCTATGTCGAGGAAGGTGGAAGAGCCCCAGTTGACGATCTTATCGGTACCCTTGGTTGAGGGAGCTAGATGAGGAACTAATGAAGATATGGGCAGAGTTTCTATAGGATCCGAACAGTCATCTAAGATATGCCATGAGGCGACAACTTATCAGGGGTGGTTCGTGTTACCAAGAGCATTGGAGTATATACCCAAACTACTGCAGGAGTTTCATGGCAGTGCGATCAGGGGGCACTCAAGGTTACAAAAGACCTGCAGTCGTATAGCGACAGAGCTTTATTGAGTGGGGATGCGTAGAGACAGGAAAAATAGTAGCAAAATGCGATGTTTGCCAATGACACAAGTACTTAACCACGAAACTAGAAGAGTTACTGCGGCCATTAGCGTTACCATGGAAGGTGGGGGAAGAAGTGACGATGAATTTTATCAAGGGGCTGTCACTGCAGAGGAGTTCACAGTGATCATGGTGGTCGTGGATTGCCTGAGTAAGTTTACACATTTCACTTCCTTATGACATCCCTACACTGCGGTCTCAATCACAACAGTGTTTATCCGGGAAGTGGTTCATTTGCACAGTGTACCCGAATTGAATTGTATCAGATAGAGACAAGTTATTCCTCAACCATTTCCGGAACGACATATTCAGGTTGCAAGAAACAATTCTTAAGAGAAGCGCCACATATCTTCCCCAGACTGATGGACAAACAAAGGTGGTCAACAGAAGTGTGAAGACATGCCTGTATTGTTTTGTATCCAATACACCGAAGTTATGGGCCAGTGGATTGCGTGGGCTGAATATTGGTTTAAAACTTCATACCATACAACGACACGGACCGCTATTTTCAAGATATTGTATGGGCGAGATCCATCTCACTTGATACATTATGGGCATAGTGAGACACTTGTATCCAACGCCGATCA